AAACAGTGCTGTTGCACAAAAGAATTCAAACATTCTTGAAACTCATCAAACAATGGCGCAACGCCTCAAACATTGCCATACATTGGCAACTCGTTGCGCAACAGCCTGCGTTGCGCAATTTGGTTGATAATGTATGGGCCGCTTATACACAATTTTATATACTAATTCATTATAATAAAATTACATAATAAAAATATTGTAATTATATTCCTGCAGATATAGTGAAAAGTTCTGTTCTTAAATATCTACTACACATTTTATAAACGCGTGTTCAAATATTAATCTTGTGGAATATATATAAACATAAAACGGAGATGTAATTATTAACAAAATATCATCGTAACAACAGATATTTTAAAAACGTCTAAGTTTACTTATTTCACTGAGATTCATAAAAAAAAGTTCTTTGCCTCGGGTATAGATACCGCCCCGTTGTGAAGTAGCTCGAGACAAAACGAAATTGAACGAGACAACAGGAAGCAACCGAAAGTTACAAAAAAATCCCCCACACCCTTCTCAGCAATTTGACGAGTAGTTTCGGGGTGTTTTTAAGAAATTAAAATAGATCGAGACAAGCGGAGACATGCCGAGACAATACAAAGTGAAGAGAGAAAACATGGAATAACCAACCGTCTTTGTTATACTACCTTGACATACTTCGAGATGATTCGGGCATAGTGTACAGGGCGTTTAACATGTCCAATATTTCTTATCTTCAGTAACACATGAATATTTCTTTGCATGTTATCTCTATGTGGCATTCAAAGATATTTTTTAAGTATATTGCCATTTGAAACAAAAACTTAAAAAATATGTAGTTAGCAGATATAATAATTAGTTCATTATTAGTTAGTCCTTGTAGCATTTTTTTTAAATAGAGAGATAGGTTACATCACATGAAACATTAAGAATTTTGTTCAAGCTAAGAGCAACCAAGAAACTGGTCTCTAGCGATTTTTAACATAGTTTGTTTTTATGAATACAACATGTTTTGGATTTTTAAGTTTTGTTTTGTGGCAATATTTCCAAACATTTCTAAAAAAATATTAATCTGGTGTAATAAAGACGTATAAACGTTAATTTTTAATTTTAATTTAAATATTATTCATAAAATGTTTGATAATGTATATTTTTGTAAAACAACACCGTAACAAGTGAGATACAATACACGCTTATCTATATGAAAAAATCTGAAAATCTTTATTTAAATGTGCTAAAACTATATTGTTTTCAGCTAGATTTGCAAAAGAAACTATTATATATTTGCAAATCTAGTTTAGATTTATTATTTAGTGCCAAAATAAAATTGTGTTTGTAGTCAAATAAATATTTGCGCTATTTTTAAGAATACTTACAAAAATAATATTGCACCCTAATTCCCAATATTGGGTGTTTATTATGAAACCAAAGGCGAGCATAATCTAGTCTATATTATTAATTTATGTTCTGAGATTTTTATTTTTATCTGTTTTGTATATTCTAAACTTTGTTTTATTTTATTATATTTAGTATTTCTTTGTTGTTTCCATTTAAAAATACATATGTAAATATGTTATATCAAGGAATCCTTCATTCTAGTCCCTTTTCACAATTTTTAACAAAATGTTTATAATCTAATGCGGTTAATATATTTTGATTGATATTTTTTTATAAATTACCATTTAATTTAATTTTTGTTTTTATTTATGTTAATTTTATATATGTTTAGATTTATTTGTGTACCTTTTATTAAAGTTGGGGTGCAAAATTGTTTAAACCGATGCAAGAATGATTTTTATTCATCATTATTATGTTGTTGTTAAGGTGGCATATGTATATGTACATCCATGTTGAATGTATAACGTTGTTATTTCCGTAGCATCAAATATAGTTGTATGACGAAATATAATGTTTTTGAATGTGAAAAGATGCTGTTTTATTTTATCTTCCTTATTTTCCTATTCTTTGAAACATGTATCATTAAGTAAAAAAAGAAGAAAAAAAAATGTTAAACACTAACATACCGGTTGCGTCTCAAAAGAGACTCACCTCTAACTTTTTTATTTTTTAGAAAATAAACGAGATTTGGTATGTTAGTATATGACATAAATTAGGATTGATTGGCATATTCAATTGTTTTTGGTCGCTTCCTGCTTCACCGGAAATGACTAGAACTTTTGATTTTTAAATGGCACTCCAGGTGTATTTTTACTTTATTTGATATAAAATGACACTCTGAATAGAATAACATATCATATGTCAACTTTTGACATTTTCGCTTAAAAAATCGTATTTTAAATTTCAATCTAGAGTGCCAAGACTAATTTTTAATCAAGGAGCCTTGGAAAAATACATTTCATCGTCTAGCGATTTTCGCTTCTTGTCCAGGCCCATTATAAGATGCCCAAATCGTACTTTTCATCATATCTCAATTTTTTTCAAATGGAACAAGGGTCGCTCATTAACATATTTGGAAAAAGCATTTTACGAATAATTTGGTATCACACACTTGCTATTTTGAGTCAAATCTATACTAATCTATACTAATATATAAAATCCTTAAGTGACTGACATATTGATTAATCACGCTCCTGCCCAAACCACTCAACGTAAGAAGCTCAGTTTTGGCATACAGGTTGATTCTAGGGTGTAGAGGTTCGATAAGAAGGGATTTTTAGAAATTCCAGTTCCAAGAGGGTGAAACCACCCCTCAAATATTACAATATTTTTTATTTAAAAAACGGTTAAGTTTTCGAAAAAACGCTTAAACACGTATATTTTATTTTGTTTTTTTACATATTTTAAGATTTTTTAAAAATGTATACAGGGTATTTCAAAATATCTGGTCATTGATTGATCACAATCCTGCTTAAAGCGCTTGACGTAAAAAGCTGATTTTTGGAAAACAGATTGACTTTAGGGTGTAGAGGTTCGATAAGAAGGGATTTTTCGAAACTCGAATTCTAAGGGGGTGAAACTATCCCTCAAATATTAAAATATTTGTTATTTAAAAACCGGTGAGTTTTTCGGAAAAACTCTTAAACACGTATATTTTATTTTGTTGTTTTACATATTTTAGGTTTTTTTATAAATTTATACAGGGTGTTTCATAAAATATGACCATTGAGTAATCACGATTCTGCTTAAACTGCTTGACGTTTAAAGCTGATTTTTGGCAAACGGATTGACTGTGGGGTGTAGAGTAGGGCATTCAATCCCGGGATCCCGGACATTTTTTCAATCCCGAAATCCCGGGATTGTCTTTTCTTTAATCCCGTGATTTTCGGGATTCATCATTACATTTTTTCCTTAATTTAAATCGTACACAAGTCTTTCATGATAGTACAATATGCGCTTATAAACAACCCTGAATGTTTGATCAAGTTTGAAGATGATGAAGATCTAGTTTGAGTGATAATACTCTTGATCGGCTTGTTTTTTTAAGAAATTTTTTCAAAAACCAAAAAAACCAAGTTTAGATCCTCATCTTTGTTACTGCATAAGTTGTTATTTTAGTATATCTTAGTAATCCTGTGTTATGCTGCATTCGGATTGGTTATGTAAATTAAATAAAAAATGTATATTTTAGTTCCTTTTATGTTTTTTTTTGTTAAATAAACTTATATGTTATGTTGTTTTGTAATGGGGATGACGTTTAATTTATGTTAATGTTTTTTTTGTTCAATAAAATTTTGTAAAGAAAGAAAATATAATATAATTCCAACGTAATTAATTTTTTCGTGAATCCCGGGACCAATCCCGGGACCAATCCCGGGATCCCGGGATCGAAAAATTATAATCCCGAAATCCCGGGATTGAAAATTTCTTTCGGGATTGAATGCCCTAGTGTAGAGGTTCTATAAGGAGGGGTTTCTCCAATCTCAAATTCCATGAGGGTGAAAACGCCCCTCAAATATTATAATATTTGTTATTTAAAAAACGGTTAGTCTTTCGGGAAAACGCTTGGATAAGCATAATTTATTTGGTTTTTTTACATATTTAGAAGCTTTTTTAAAAAATCATACAGGGTGTTTCAAAAAGTTGGGTAATTTCTTAACCACGATTCTGCTAAAACTGCTTGACGTAAAAAGCTTATTTTTGGCAAACGGATTTTTCGAAAGTCAAATTCCAACGAGATGAAACTACCCCTCAAATATTACCAAGTTATATAATAATAGCGCCTTATTGTTTTTTCTCATGCTGGTATAAATGTGAGAAAATTTTATCCAGTTTGTATGTTAATGGAAATGCTTTGCTTTATCATCACCATTACAAAGGATTAATTGGACGCGAACGAAGTCGCTGGTACACGCTATATAGTTGTCTTTATAAACCATTCATTATCCAACAAGTCGTGTCTATCGAATAAAGTTGAAATATACAGAGGATGCCATTTAAAAATCAAAAGTTGTAGTCATTTCCGGTGAAACAGGAAGTGACCAAAAACAATTGATTACGTCAATCAATCCTAATTTATGTTTTATACTAACATACCAAATTTCGTTTTTTATCTGAAAAAATATATATAAGGGTGAGCCACTTTTAAGACGCACCTGGTATAGAAGTATTAGAGTTTATTATAGCCAGGGTTTTTTTTGAATTTGCGTGCAGCTTTTTGTTTAATTAACTATTGGCTAATTTCCAATTTCAATACCACCCAATGTTATAATTTTAGGCTCCTATCATATCTTAGTTGTCTAACAACCACAATAAAAAGATTGGAGTCAGAAAGGTAAACCACAAACCTGATATGGAACTTATTCAGAACCTTGGCTCACCCTGTAACCAATATTAATCAATCAAAAAATAAAGGAAGGACAATTATTTACCGACAGAAACTTCGAATAATAAAAGAGGTTTCCTTTCCAATCTATCGTCGATTTTTCAACACCGTGCCCGTTACCAATGGCAACCCGATCTGGGCCGATCGAACACGGACATTCCCGAAGCACACCTGCCACACGCCAGCTGCGCTCTTCAGGTGTCTTCTTAAACAGTTAACTTCTGTTTTAACCTTTGTTTCGAAGCCTATCCTGACGGCATTCATCGGACATGTGAGAAGATGATGCGTCCGAAAATCAATAAAATTCATAAAATATCGAACTACTAGTGATATTTTTTCTTAGACAAAGTTTAGTGTGCGTGTCCTAGTTTAGTTGGTGTGTATTTATTTTGTTTTAAAGTGTAATCTATCGCTGGGCAACCTGGATCTTCAAGGTGTTGTTGATACCGGTAAGAGAATGTTTTAGTTACTGTTATAGTTAGGAATTTTAGCTTGGGTTAGTGATCTTTGCTGAGACGCGACAGGTATTTAAATCTTAAAGATGAAACTATTAATTTTGTAGTAGAATGTGGTAGAATTTACCTTAACTGCCTTAAAAGTCGTTATCTGAGATTATTTTTTTCAGTAAGAAAACTAAATAGAGGTAATTTTACCTCTTGAGCGTAGAAACATTATTCGTAGAGAAAGAACCAAATTTAGAGCGTAGAAACAAATTTTTTTGCAATGTTATTTACGAGGGGTGTCTCACTTGGGTAAAAAATGTACACGTACCGCCAAAATATCCTTCCACTTCTAAGCGACTGCCAGTGACTATGAGAAGACTGCCTATGACTGCCATGTAATTATTATAGGCGACTGCCACTAGACTGCCAATGACTGCCAGCGACTGCCAAGAAAATGTACATGTAATTCCAATAGTGAGACACCCCTCGGTTAATTATTTTTTTATTTACACACCTTTTGTAGAAGAATTTAGTTTTAATCTTCTGATGATTGATTTTAAAATTAGTAAATTTCCAAGAAAAAATTCTTTGCTACTAAAAATTATATTGATTAAACTACTATATGACACAATAAAAGAAGAAGGAACAGGTCTAAATGCTAATTTACACTTTGTCAAGTTGCAAATGTATCAATGTATCTGTCAAGTGCAGGTGTCAAGTAACTAGGAATTCACATGTTTTTATAGTATCAAGTGTTAAGTCGGTATAGGGTTGGTGCATTCTCCGCCGCGCCGGTGCTGCCACCATCGAAGAATATCATAAACAACTGGTATATGCAAATACATGGATGGGTTTAAATAGCGAGTATACGAATAATTAATTATATAATTATTCTAAAAGTGTTAGGTAGTATAATTTGTGAAAATTCTAAAAGTAAAAATAAAAAATTAAATATTTTGATATCTTCAGAAGGTCTAACTTGTATTATAATTTATTATTTCAGCTAAAAAAAACTTTTTAGTTGAGTTCAACTACTCTAGCGAGCATAGTCTTATGCATCGGTTTGCTAGTGGTGTCATAATTGGGGCTATTTCGGCTATAACGAAATTTTGGTAAAGGTACATATAATTATAATTTTAGAAGATGTTTATAAAACATTTAATAATTTGATTAAAAAAATTACAGTACGTCTGCTGGATCTGTGTCTATGAAAGGAATGCGGACAAAAAACATTTAAATAAACAGCAATATATTTTATACGTCGACTTGACGAGTACGTCACCGCAAATCGCTCCGCCCACTCATTTTATTGGCTGCTTGCAAATTTGTCGAATTTTTATTGATGGGACGTGTCGTCTAATTTTTTACGAAAAACATGGAGAGAATATCGTTTCCCCTCTCACGGATACCCCGTAGCTACAGAACGGACAGACGTACTACCTATACCTATTGCAAAATATTTTTTGTCCGTTCATAGTATATGTAGGTATATTTAATTTTTTGATTTGTAACGACCACTTGGTTTACTCACTTGTTTCGTCGAACTGCTTGAATCCATTTTTTGCTTTTGATCAAATCGGTGTGAGGAACTATGAGGCTATAAAACGTTGTTTCGGGAGAGTTGAATATCCGCCAAAGTTGAGTTATTAACTGTTATTTATAAACAAGAATTAACATTATAATAGGCATTTGAAATTGTCACAACTCAACACTAACAACTAACCTAACCTAACAACTAACCTAACCTAACCTAACTCAACACGACGCCGCGGCGCGGCGCGGCGTGAAGCACATAGCGAAAATTTTTTATTTCTGCAAAATTTTTGCTTGAAATCAACTGAAATGTACGAAGCTTATATTATGTTGTTTTTCACTGCAGTAAAATACAAGACAAAAACAAGACCTTTGAACATTTTCATTAAAACACTTTAATTGCCAAAAAATACTACACTTACTCTTGATACCTGCATTGGTAATGTGACAAAGTATAAATTAAAGCTTATTTATTACTATTTTATATTCATGCATCGTCATACGACTCCTGTATTTGGCAAGTCCACCAATATTTGCGTACTTGGCAAGTATACCAACTTTGTAAATAGCTATGGCAAGCTTGGCGCTCACACGATGTGTCCATTTCAACAAGCACGGACATTAAGCCGGACTCAGACGATTCGTGTACTTGGCGAACATTTGTTACTGACATACAGGGTCCAGCAAAAGTGTATGTATTTCTCAAAAACTGTATCTACTATAAAAAATAACTTAGGAATTTTGTATAAGGGCAAACCGAACGTATGTAATAGGATGTATTTCAGGAAAATATTTTAACTTCTACAGGATGGCTCAAAAATATGTGAGTGTATCGGGATGATTTTTTTTAAATGGAATACACTGTATATTATTGCATTTTTGGCATGCTTTCTGATCACTTCCTAATTTGATTGATTCTAATCCAGAGATATTATTTGTTTTCATAGTTTCAGAGATATTACGAAATAAATAAAAAATATATATTTTTTGAGCCTTTAAAAAAATATTAAAAATACAAGATACGAGGTCCTCAAATGAAAACTGTACATGACTTTCTATACACGTTTCATACTTTAGGTTTGCACTTATACAAAGTTTCTAAGTTGTTTATTATAGGGGCTACGGCTACAGATGCAAGACGTACCTTCGCCGGACCCTGTATGCCAATAACATATTTTGCAAAAAACACGAGTCGTCTGAGCGAGCCATTTGCTCAAGTAGGACGTTTCGACAAGTTTTATGTCAAATTTTAGTACTTAAATGACGTCTAGAGATTGATTTCGCCAAAATTATTATCGATTGTCATTCCCAGCCCTCTTTGGCACCGTTTTTTTTTTTATTGTATATAAAGGACTTCTTTATTAACCACCAACAAAAAATAACTAAGAGGAATGTATAAATGTCTCCCGTTTTTTAAGCTTAAAAATTACAGAAAACCATTCTAGTTTGTGAGACAACGCCTAATGGAGCCCGAGCCTGCAATTACTGCATTCTTGGTATTGGCAATTCTTTAGATAACCGCTTATTACGAATGCGCTTTAAATGGGCACAAGGAGTTTTCAAACACGCCATTACGGAATCTTCGTTTTTATTTCGAAATGTTATATTCTAAAGTGCTCTCGTTTAGAAACGCCCAGTAATTTACTTTAAAATATATCCAACCAGCGTTTTAAAAACAGTTAAACAAATAAAAAAAGTCTCGAAAAAAGTATACTGGGTGTTTCTCAAATTGGCTCACCCCTAGAACTTTTTTATATTTTCAGGTAAATAAACGAGATTTCGTACGTTGGTATATGACATAAATCAGGATTTATTGACGTATTCGGTTGTTTTCGGTTACTTCCTGTTTCACCGGAAATGACTACAACTTTTGATTTTTAAATGACACCCTTGGTATATTTTTAATTTATTCGATAGAAAATGACACTCTGAATAGAATGACATATCATATATCAAGTTTTGACATTTTTGCTTTAAAAAAATCGTATTTTAAATTTCAATCTAGAGTGCCATGGCTGTGTCAAAAACACTAATTTTTAAATAGATTTATTTAATCGTCTAATATTTTTCGTGTATTGTCCTGGCCGGTTAAAAGATGCCCAAACCGTATTTTTAATCATACCTCATTTTTTTTCAAATGGAACAAAGGTGGCTCATTAGTATATTTGGAAAAGCATTTTTTACGAATAATTTGGTACCACACATTTGGTATTTCGAGTCAAATTGTCGTTATAAACAGAATTAAAATAATGAAATGTTGAAATAAACCATATATGCAAAAATGTCACAATTCCGGTGAAACAAGAAGTGACCAAAACAATTGAATACATCAACCAATCCCAATTTATGTCATATACTGACTACTAACATACCAAATCTCGTTTTTTTATCTGAAAAAAATAAAAAGTGGTGAAATAAATAGAGGTGACACTTTTGAGACGCACCCGGTGTTTGAGAACTTTTTATTTTTTTAAATTTTTCTAGAAACTAAACATTTTTCTAGAAAAAATTATGATAAAACAGATTCTGACACAAAAACATTTAAAATTTATTAATTACAATTTTTTTTCAATTCATTTTTTTTATGTTTTTTTACCAATTTGGTTATTGAAACTGTGCGGTCTGGATTTTAACGTGTAAGCCAGTGATGTAGACAGCTTATGGAAAATTAAATGTATTAAAAAGAGATAAAAATTGGGTCAACACATTTCTTCTATGCGGTATTGCCGGATTTTGCATCAAAATTTCAAACCACACAAGTAGGCGTTTACGAAAAAGGTTGCGTCTAGGGTTGGAACCAGGGTTCGGAAAACTACATGTTACTTTTAAAAACTACATAAACTACATTACATGTAGTTAATGTAGTTTATGTAGAGGGTGTAGTTTATGTAACTTATGTATGTAACTTTCAAATATCAAAGGTTTGAGGTGAGGTTATAATCAGTTGAGGCTTTAAAAACACATAATGTATTTAAGAAAACAGGAGAAGTATGGCTTTAAATATAATATTTACATCATATTATCTCTATTACACCTCGTACAAAGGAAAATTATTCATAATATCAATACATAGTTTATTAACGTAGTTTTCATGTAGTTAATGAACGGGAAAAGACGTAGTTTTTGAAGAAAAACTACACGTATTTAATCAGGTAAATTACGTCTTAATTAACTACTTCCGAACCCTGGTTGGAACTTTATTTTTCACTATTAGTTACTCATTTTACTACAGCTGTAATAGATTATATTTAGTTTAAATATATTATCATCATTTCAATAGTATACATGAAAGTTTTTAAAATAGCTTTTTTTCTACAAACATTTTCGTACAAACCGGCAACACTGTATGCTGCTTTTGATTTTGTCTCTCTGTCTGTCAGACCAACGAAGAAATTTTTGGTCAAAATTAAAGTGTTATATTTTTGTTATTTTTAGCCCTATTTTCATGAATTTTTTATCAACCTGTACATAAT